AGTTGGAGGATCAATTATTGCTGAAGACAAAAATTGACTATTTCTCCCATATTATAGAAGTTAGGCCCAGTTTGTTTTGGGGTTAAATAGATGGGAGGAGATTAGCATGGAGGTAAAGTTATTTAGTGTTGTGTTTATTTGTAGAGTTAGGGAGGAGATTAGGATAGAGGAGGTGATATAGATGGAGGTTGGAAGGAGGACTGAGATGGAGGAGGTGGAGATGGTATTAGAAAAATAGTGAGGGAATTAGAAATTTTTTTATTTTTTATATATTGGGAATTTTTTTTAAATATTAATGTTTAATTTTTTATATTTTTTTAATTGTTTTATTATTTTATATAAAAATAATTTAACAATTCCTACACTAACAACTATCATCAAAACAAACACAATTTTACTTAATCTCCTCACTATCAATCCCCTCACTAACAATCTCCTCACTATTGATCCCCTCACTATTAATCTCCTCCATTCTACCTCTGAAAACAAACAGGGCCTTAGTGTGTTGTTTATTCCTTCGTATTATGGGTTATTTATTAGGCTAATTGTTGTGATCGTTATCTAATTCCTCGCAAATTTATGATTAATTTCTTATCAATTGACAAAACAAAACAAAAAAATTCTATCAAAACGCTTCTTAATATAAAAAATGTCATTCACATTATTTTGACAAATAATTCTACAAGACTAATATTTTGCTTAAAAAATTAGTCCACAATTAAAATTTGTTAGATACTCTCATAATATCATATAATATTATCTACATGTTATTCTTGACTAATGATAAAATTACAGGAAAAAAACTAAAGTGAATTATTCTTTTAGCTCATAACTACCTACAAAAACGAGTCTCCGTGCTCAAAATCTAAATTATAAAAATTTTCATTACACGATTAATTTAAAGTGCTAGGTAAGTAATCCCCTTACACCTTTATAAATAGAAATTTTGATACAGAATTTCCATCCAATGGTTTAAATCCTTCTACTTCAGATGAGGACGGGAAAAAAAAATCAATCTATTCATCATCCATGTGACTTGTATAATGTGATGTGAAATAGAATACTATCCAAAAATTATGTTATGCATAATAATTATCTAACACAGAGAGAGAGAGAGAGAGAGAGAGAGAGAATTTCCCTGAATACGTGAGGAGTGAGAACAAACCGTCCAATTTTCATATCCGACAGACTTAGGTACTATTTGGTATCCTTATATTAGCAATATTTTTTTATTTTTTTTATCTTTTTAGATTTTTCATTTTTTTTTTTTTGCATCTTTTTTTTAAAAGGTGATTTTATCTTTTTGTAAAAAGTGATTAATTTTGCATGGTGGTGGGATGTTATGGCCTTTTTTGAAAAGTAAGTTAAAAATTACTTTAATTTTTAACTCGTTTTGAATCATATCATCTCTTATATTTTTTATACGTTTTTAAAAAAAAAATCAAAAAAATTAAAAAAATCAATCTTTAATCATCTTTCCAAAACACTTCTATTTGCTTGGGAAACAGAGAGACTGATCAGAGTATGTGTCATGCGAATATGCTCATCGGATCTGTACCTTCATCGGATCTATACCTCCACTGTCCTAACGATAAGCCGCCCCCGCCCCTGCCCTCGCCCCTTGGGATATTCCTGCAATTTATGCTTCTCTGTTCACTTCATTGCAATGAGATTAAATTAATAGAATTTTTTTTATTTTTTTATTTTTATGGAATGATTATTATTTTCAGAAAATGATGATTCATTTATAATATATTTTTTGTTGTTTTTTTTTAAGTCAATTAAATATAAGAATAGATATTTTGATTGAATGGTTTTTTTTTTTTTTTTTTTTTGCTAGGTAAGTCATGAATTCTATACCAAAAAAATAGATATTACAATGAGGTTCATTACACACTCAAAGATAACACACCCTTCGAGGAGGAAAAAAACATGCCTAACTTCTACATAAAAATCTTACCAGTAGATTAACATATAAAGAAAATCCAAAAGTTAAGCTAAGTAATAATCAACGGACAAGCCTGCGATTTCATAAGAGTCTTACAATTTGATTTCTTAGGCTTAATAGAGAGACTAACCTCTTAAGCAAGTTTAAGATTAGCCGTTCTCTCAAGAAACTTTTTCTTATTTTTCACTTTTGAAGATGAGTTTATCCATAGAACAACAAATGTTCCATCTGAAAGGAATTGAGGAGCTCCTTTGAGACGTGAAGAATGGTAATTTCATTTCACTCCATTCTCTATAAACCAAACACTACGACTAACCTCTTAAGCAAGTTTAAGATTAGCCGTTCTCTCAAGAAACTTTTTCTTATTTTTCACTTTTGAAGATGAGTTTATCCATAGAACAACAAATGTTCCATCTGAAAGGAATTGAGGAGCTCCTTTGAGATGTGAAGAATGGCAATTTCATTTCACTCCATTCTCTATAAACCAAACACTACTTTGTAAAATTCTTAACTAGTGAAAAACTATAACACACTAAGGAGATCGCCATTTATTTCTTAATCACCTAACAAAGGTGAGTCGACATGTCATCTCTATAAAAAAAAAAAAAAAAAATCAAACCCGAGGGAAAATTTTGTAAAGTCACAATCGACAGACGATTTGGCTATAAACTTCGCCAATAACAAAAATAAATTCCAACAAATGATTCAAAAGAAACGATTGAAGGAAGAGAAACAAAAAAAAAAAAACTAAATAATAACAACAGATAACTTCATTAATATTCAAAAAGTGTGAAAATTATGTCGATAACAAACTTAGAGGCTATTTGGCATGACCTAAAAAAACATATTTTTATCTTTTTATTTTTTTAGATCACATCACTTTTTATTTTTTTACACATTTTTTTATAAAAAAAATATAAAATATACTTATTTAAATTATTCTAAACACCCTCTAATATTGTTCTACTCCAAAAAGTTAAGATAAAGCCTATGATATATTTGATGTGTTGATTGATTGATTCCATGCTCATCTCCTCTTTGCCTATTTAATCGCTTCACTCAGAGTTTAAAAAACTAGCAGTATTTCTTTCCCATCCATGCGTCATGCCAAACAAGATGAAGTTGCTTCAAATGTGACGACACTTTCTTGTGTAACTTCTATTAACTTCCAAGTAAATAAAGTGTTGCCACAAGTGCCACAATAAAACAAATAATAATAACAATTAGCATAATGTTTCAGACCCCCACTGGGGATTGGCCAAAAAAAAACAAATTTTTTTTTTTTTCTTTCGTCCAATAACCAACCCCTACGTGTGTGTGGGTGGAAAAAACTGGAGGTCTCAATCACGTTTATAACAATTAATATGGCTATAATTACTTTTTAGAGACCGTTTAGGGTTTAAATCAACAGATTATAATTTACAAGTCACAATTAACAAGATTGAATTTAGTCATAATAGATAAGTTGTAGTCAATAAGATTAGATTTAGTTACAATCGATAGATTATAATTGACAAAAAAATTTATTTACAGTGCAAACACTGTTATAAGCAAATGCCACAAGATCATTTTGAACTGACAAACAATCTCGTTAAACTCGAAAGATCTTATTAAACTCGAAAGGGAAATGGATACTCCAAACTCCAAGGTTTCATTTCAGTTCTACTTGGATAGGGAAAGGCCATGGTACACACTCCTCAAAAAGTTTGTATCACATGCACTTTATAAATAAAGAAGAAAATCATATAATTTTATACTTCCTGAGTCCTAACTTAAAAATAATAATAAAAAATAAAAAACAATAAAAAAACAATCATAACCAAACACCACATTAGATATAACCAAAAATCTCAAGAGTCATAGCTAAAGAAAAAAATTAATCATAACTAAAAAAGAAAATGACATAATTAAAGATACATACGATGGAAATGCATATGGTAAAATTCTCCAATTGCATAAATATCATTGTACAAATGGGGTAAACTACACCCATTCCCTAAAACATGAAAATTTTTAGTTTCTAAATAAAAGTTTATTTTATTTTGATTAAGTTATCAAATTCTTCCAGTTTTGATTCAAATTCTAACTGTTACGATTTTGTAATGGAAAATGTCATATGACACTCCGAGTGCAATTTGAACAAATTGAGAAATTATCCAAACCTAAGTCATGTTATGTTGAGAGTTGCTCAAACTCGATTCCCAACCAAGGTGGTCTACCCCAAACTCAATAAATTGAACCCAACCTAGGCACCAATTACCCACAAATTTGAATTGAGGGTTTTTTTCCCCCCCCAATAAAGTTGGTTCCTTTTACATTTTTTCTAACAAAATCACAAGTATTATCAAAACAAGTAATCTGCAACGATAACATAACAGTGTATGTGAGATATAATACATATACTCAAGTCAATCTAACCGTGTAGATAACTTTAGAAATCATCGAATAGCCAATATTTCACAAATACATTCAAATTTGATTTGGGATTGTCTAGTGTATCTGCTAAGGCCAAACCCAAATTCAATTTGCACTTCCAAATTGCTACTCAAGCATGCACTAAGTTCAAAAACATGTTGCCAAAATATTTTGGGGCTCTTTAAATTGATCCCAAAAAAAAAAGAAAAAAAAAATTGTGCCATGGTCAGATTTCTCAAGTTGAAGCCATTCGAGTTGGGCCCCTATGTAGAGCACGGATTGACCCAGTCCAGACCCATATTCAGGAACAATCTATGAAAATATAATAAATTACACTTCACCCCTTAGCATGTTTTACTTTGGTCCTCAAACGAAAAATAAAAAATAAAAAAACACACTTAGGTCTCACCCGAACGAGAGGGGGAAAAAATATATATATATATACACAGAAGAAGAAGAAGAAGTTGTTTAACAACCTGCCACATCATTTACAAAAATAATTCTCTAGGCATCATCTAGGTGGCATATGAAACAAACAAAACCAATGCAAGCCATTAAAGAAAATAGAAACCAAATCCACAACAGATTGCAGTAGGATTAGTAGGAACTCCTGAAATCACTTCATTCCAACTTTTCACTCAGCATTGTTAATGTTGGGTTCTATTTATTAAGATGGACATAGGAACAAGTTGAATTCAATAGCATACAACATATTTTCTCAACATCTTTCAAACTAGTAGCAATAATAAACACAAGAAGTATTTCCCAATCTCCTAAAGTCATAAAATGATTGCCCTATGACAGGAGACTCTGTGAATGCCTAATAGAGTGGGGCAACCAGAACAAACGAAAAATGAGAAATGCAAATTAGACAAAGCAAGATTTCAACTTTCCATCACATTTTCTGAAACTAAAGCAGATTGAAAGGCAAGCCATAAATTATCAGCAGTTATTGGACAATGACTCCTCCAATGATATAAGAGTTTTTTTTTTTCAACCTACCAAAAAGAAGAGGGGGAAAAAACCTACATTGTTAAGCTTTAATCTGGCTGTGTTCCCTTGTGGCGCACTCTCATTTCCCATCTCTCTACTCTTCTTCAGCATAGAATTCCAACTTGGTCTCAATGCTTCCAACTTCTCTCATCTGATGAAGTGAAATGGTAGCAGGTAATGAAATCCACAACACGAAATAAGGTGAGAGCTAAAATCATGGAGGTAGAAAGAACAAATAGAGGAGGGAAAAAAACATCATCCGCATGAAGATATCTAGCTTCAAAAAGCAATTCATCCTGTTTCTTCAACATATGAACATGATGTTTTTTTTCTTTTTTTCTTTTTTTTTTTAGCAACAAGAACTTTATTGATAAATCAAAAAGGAAAGTAAACGAGGATGAGGCATCCTCTTACAACGAAAAGGGAAAACACAAAACAAAGGCCTAAACAAGAAAACACAAATGCAAAAGCCTACATATCACACACTGCCAACCAATCTCTAGCTAACAAAAAAAGAGGGACCCCCTTAAAAAGAGGATTCCCTAAAATGCAAAAAGAAGTTAAATGGCAAACGCAATCCCACAAACAATCTATCCCTCGAGATTTATCTTCAAACACCCTCACATTTCTTTCCAACCATAGAACCCAAAAGGTTGCAAAGACCGCACAAGACCAAAGCAATTTGGCTCTCTTCGATCCTCCAAGAATGCGAAAGTCAACTTCGAGCATATGTGCACTCCTTTGCGGAGCTACCCACATAACATTCCCCAACAGAAATAACTTGTGCCATAGAAACAAAACTATTAGGCAATGCAAAAATAAATAATCCACGGATTTCCCATTCTTACAACACATCATGCACCACTGAGGATTTAAAAATCGATTAGGTCTCCGTTTCTACAATGTATCATTTGTCCAAATGCCACCATGAACCAAGGCCCACATAAACACCTTCACCTTAAGAGGAGCACAAGTCTTCCAAATTCTCTTGGAGAAAGGAAATTGAGAAACATGATGTCACTACTTCATGTGAAGATAAAGGCATCATCTTGTTTACCACTCAATCAAACTATATATTCACTTGTTTGTAACTTCATCACCGAACACAATTTGAGCCAAACAACCTTAAAAGGGGTAGTATCCCCAAGAAAGTGGAGGCATAGAAAAGAGTTAAATGTTTGAAAGTATGTTACCGAGAACGCAAATCATTTTGGTACGGAGAACGGGAACGAGTATTTTCTTCAAATTAATCGCTTAACAACATAGTTCTACAAGCATTATTGCCCATTGTTTTTCATTGTCAATCCATAACTCCACTTCAAGCATTATATTTGACTTTTACTCTATTAAGAACTTTTAATGAAAAACATTAAAATAATAATAATAAAATAAAATTTATGGAAAAATTCATTTTACCCCTCATGGTTTGAGGTCAAAGCACTTTACCCTCCTATCGTTCAAATATAGCCAGAAAGCTCCTAAAAATTTATGAGATCAGTGTTTGCATTTTTTGATAACACTAGTTTGAAAAGAGTTTTAACTTGAGATATTTACTATGGGTCAGGAAAACAAAATGACCTTCAGGAAATTACCAACAGCATAGTCTACAATCTTAAGTTTATTTTTTTTTCCATCAGCTTTAAGCTTAATCCTTATAGGGAGCATGTCATCTATAATTTTTAACAACTATTTTAAACAACAAAAATAGAAGTGAAGTAGAAATTTATTGAACTTCATTAAGTATCGATGGAAAATAATTTGATTATCAAGTCATGTGATTAGGTAACAGATGGGTATGAATATGATTACATCTAGGGCTATGCAGCGGATCCACCGACCCGCCACACCCGACCGAACTGACCCGACCCGACCCCCAATGGATGGATGCATGCCACGTGGCGGGCGGATGCGGGCCTGGTTTATGGCAAATTTCGGGTTCAGGTCGGGTGGCGGGTAATCCGCCATTTTAGTCACCAGACCCGACCCGACCACCTTGGCTATTTTTTTATTTACTTTTGGCTGATATCCTCATTTTCCCCCCTTTTCCTTTCTGCCATCTATCCGCCTCTTGTCATTTTGCCCTAATTTTCGATAGAGACAGACAGACATTCTCACTCTCTCTCTCTCTCTACCCTACCCATCGTCGGACGATCTACACGGCGTCGCCGATCGATACACTACTGACTGTATCTCTCTCTCTCTCTCTCTCTCTCTCTCTCTGCTTTCTTCTCTTTTCTTCTCTTCTTCTGATCTGAGTCTAATCTGTTTTTTTTTTTTTTTTTCCAGTTCTAAAACGAAATAGATGGTTAGATTGATCGATATACAGTCTACTACACTGTCATTGACTGTAACTGAGGTACCTCTCTCTCTCTCTCTCTCTCCTCCTTCTTCTTCTTCTTCTTCTTCTTCTTTTTCTCTTCTTCTGAATCTTAACTGGTTTTATTTTTATTTTTATTTTTTGGTTCTAGTTCTAAACTTCTAATCGTTTAGATTCTAATCTATTATTATTATTTTGTTTTGTTCCAGTTCTAAAACTAGAGACGTGGTTAGATTGATTGATACAGAGAAAACCACAGAGAGGTTTGGTTTATTTTTTTGAATAATCTGCTTTGTTAATCAGCTTTTATTTTATTCGTACTTCTAATTTGAACTTTTATTCAGCTTTTATTCTTACTTATTATTTTATTTTTTTGAACAATCTGTTTTGTCTACTACACTGTCATTGACTGTAATTTCCTTTTTTAATTTTGTGCAACATTTTCCTTTTCAAAATTAGTGTAGCAATTTGTTCCCTCCCTTTTTGTCATGGAATGAAGTTCTGTAAATAAGAGATTGTGGGTAGAGAATCCTAATAAGGAAGAAGCATGATGAACCCAGTGACTTTTCAAAATTAGTGTAGCAAGTTGTTCTCAATGACTTTTTATTGTTGGCACATCTGGTGTCACATTATTCTGATTGATCAACTACAACACATATTCACACATTATTTTGTGTAATGCTCTTTTTTTTTTATCATTTAACTACACATATTCCATCAATCAGAATGATGTGTAATGTGTAATGTGTAATGTGATCAAAATTATTTTAACAGTTAACTTATCATCAGAATATTGACTTTTTTTTGTAGTTGGATTTTATTTCTCTTTCTATTGAATGATTTGTTTCTCATTTACAAAGTTTTGATTTGGTTAACTGTTAAAAAATTATTTTGGTTAACTGTTTGAATAACTTATCATCAGAATTGGTTAAATTATTTGGTTAACTGTTTGAATAACTTATCATCAGAATAATGATTTGTTTCTCATTTACAAAATTATTTTGGATTTTATTTCTCTTTCTATTTGAATAATGTTTCTCATTTCTCTTTATATTTTGTGTGAATAACAGAATATGTACTCATTTAACTACATCATCTGGTAACTACATACATCATCATGATGTGAGCATGATTGTTAACTACAGCATCTGGTGTCACATTATTCTGATTGATCAACTACACTTATCATCAAAAAAAAAAGAGTTGATCAAAATGATAATCTTCAAACTCTGTCCATTTAACTACACATTATTCTGACTAATTTACACTTATTCTGATGGATCAACTACATCATGGATTTAAACTTTGTCCATTTAACTCTGTCCAGTGAACATTAAACTCTGTCCATTTAATATCCTTCTTAGTTTAAACTAATCTCTTAGGTTTTCAAAAAGAGCATGGATTTGAAAAACATATTTTGAATGATTTTTTATTGGTTGTTGGCAGTTTATTTGATAATCTTTTGGCCATGGATCCTCCAAGTGAAGAAACTTTTTTTGTGAGTCCTAATGTTGAGCCTGAATCATCTTCTATTGACCCCTCTACCCAATCTAATGCTCCCCCTCGTAGACCACCCTTGGCCAAAACTAGTAGTAGTGGGAGAACAACATCAAAGGCTTGGGATCATTTTGAAAAGATTAAGGGCATTGATGGGAAAGATAGGGCTATGTGCAAGTATTGTAAGAAAGAATATATGGCAGGCTCTAAGAGTCATGGAACAAGTAATTTGTTAAGTCATTTGAAAAATTGTACAAAGTATCCATATAGGGATACTCATGGGCAACAATCATTGGGATTTAAACCTAGAGAAGTTGGTGGGGAGGATGTTGTTGATGTTGTGGCTACGTCATTTTCTGTAGAAATTGCTAGAAGGCATCTTGCGGAGATGATAGTAATAGATGAATTGCCCTTTAGATTTGTTGGCAGGGTTGGTTTTAAGAGGTTTTGTATGTCATGCAACCCAAGTTCAAGATTCCATCTCGATATACCGTTGCTAGGGACATTCTAGACATATACACCAATGAAAGGGAGAGGTTGAAAAAAATTGTGAAGGGACGCAGAATTTGTTTTACCACGAACACATGGACTTCCATACAAAATTTGTGTTATATGTGTCTAACTGCACATTTCATTGATGATGATTGGAAGTTACAAAAGAGGATCATAAATTTTTGTCAAGTTGAAGACCACAAAGGAGAAACTCTTGGTAAAAAAATTGAGGCACTTTTAAAGGAGTGGGAAATTGATGGCCTTTTTACCTTAACTGTGGATAATGCGAGTTCCAATAATCTAACCATTAGATTCTTGAAACGAACAACAAAATTGTGGAAGGGAACTATCTTGGGCCATGAATTTTTACACATGCGTTGTTGTGCGCATATTCTAAATCTTATTGTTAGTGATGGATTGAAGGATCTTGAGTCTTGTATAGCGAATGTGAGGCATGCAGTGAGGTATGTGAGGTCTTCTCCAAACCGCCTTGACACTTTTAAAAAGTATGTGGAAAGTTTGAAAATTGAGAGTAAGAGCCTCTTGTGCCTAGATGTGCCAACACGGTGGAATTCAACATATCTTATGTTGGAGGCAGCAGAAAAATTTGAGAGTGCTTTTCAAAGAATGGGTGAGGAGGACTACAATTACAAACACTACTTTTTGGATAATGAAGGGGGTGAGAGGAGAGAGATGCCTACAGCCGAGGATTGGGATAATTGTAGGGTGTTTTTGAAATTTCTTAGAATGTTCTACAATGCCACAAAGAGATTTTCTGGGTCTTTATTTGTTACTTCAAACAAATTCTACACTGAAATTTTTGTCATTGAAAATATGATTGGACAATTAATCAAAGACAATGATCCTATTTTGTCTTCAATGGCAAAGAAAATGAAAGAGAAGTTTGACAAGTATTGGAGAAATGGGGATAAAATAATCTACTTTTGTATATTGCGGTTGTGCTTGATCCTAGAAGAAAAATGACATACTTGCAATTTTGTTTCTCAACAATTTTTGGTGGAGATATGGTGAAAGTGAAAGAAATGTTAGACAAGGTCAAAAATTGTTTGGGCAAATTGTATGATCATTATGCCACACTTGAGCCAACAAATGTGCATGCCTCCAATGTAAATGAAAGAGTAGATATGGTGATAGATGAAAATGACCCACACTCTATTGTGAACTCTCAATTTAACTCGTTTTTGGAGGGGCAATTTTGTAGTAATGGGAGTATGTCGGAATTGGACAAGTACTTGGGTGATATTGAGAAAGGTGGAAATAATTCTCAATTTGATATCTTGGAGTGGTGGAAGGTTAATGCAACAAAGTATAGAGTATTATCACTTATAGCACGAGATGTGTTGGCGATGCCTATTTCCACTGTTGCTTCTGAGTCAGCTTTTAGTACAGGAGGTCGTATACTTGATCCATTTCGTAGTTCACTTGCTCCCAAGATGGTGGAGGTTCTTGTTTGTGCACAAAATTGGCTTCGAAGTAACATTCCAATATGCCTTAGACAAGCAATGAATGATATTGAAGAATTTGAACAACAATATAATTCGGGTAATACATTCAATGATTTATTTTGTTTTAAATTTCATTGATTTTGTATTATTCAAAATTCATTATTTTCACTTTACATGTTTTTCTTGTGTTATGTTTTATGTGTAGTTGTTTCAGAATCAAGTTCTTGTTCAAGCCCAAGTCCGGAACCTAATTTTATTGAAGTTTAATATCATGGTAAAATACCCCTCCCCTTTGCTAAATGTTGTTAATATATGTTTATTTGTTTTAAGTTTAAGACTTTTTAGTGTTTTCCTTATTAAATAATTTCATTTTTTTGGTTATGCAGGTTTAGATGGTTCATTTCATGGTTTGGCTCAAGGAAATTAATGACTTTTTGCTTCTTTTTGGATGTATTATTATTTGGATGACTGTATTATTTTATTTTTTTTTTTAACTTTGGATGATTTTCAACTTCAACTTTGGATGACTGTAATGAATTATGTTTTTGCATTGCCCACTAGAACGTTGAATTTTGGATGCCCAGGAGAAGATAATGGAAATTGATAACATGTCATGTCTTATGAGGTTTGTTAAGTTGATGCTTTTTTGGAATTGTTGAAGTTTTCTTTGTGCCTATGGTTTTATTTTTGTGAGCAAGGGATTTTTGTTTTACTCATGTTCTGTTATTGACATCTCTTGTGAAAAGATAAATAAATTTTTTTTTTCCCTTCTTTTTTTGGTGCATTTGAGAATAATTTTCTTAGATAATATATGCACTTTGGCCAGAGATTGGTTTTTGGCACTTGGTTTGGGCAGTCTTGAATTTCCAATAGAATCACTTTTATTTGGAGAAGAAAAAGAAGCAACATTAGATATTGTAGGTGGGAGAGAATTGGAGAGCACTTGTGTTAACTGTTATATGTTACACTGGCAAGATGACATATAAAATAAAATAAATGTGGAGTTCAATAATATTACCCTCTGCTTATTATTTAGTGAATGGTATTGGATATCTTCTTCTTTTTCAAGATTCAATTGACAGTTTTAGACCTATCAAATTTATGTATGTTTGTGCAATGTTTTCTGGTCTCACATCACATGTGAAGAAGATGAATGGCAGATTTGATGCATATTGTTTTTGGCTCAAGGAAAACAGTCCTTTGGAAATTGATTTGTGTGTGGATTGCTAAAAGGTTTTGAGGTTATTTGTTTTAAGGAAAATGATGTTCAAATTTAAACCAAATCAATTTGAATAGTGAAAAAGATAACGTGCCACTTTAACATTACAGAGTGTTATAGGCCCACACAATTCACTTTTTTTTATGAGAGCTTTAGTAATAGTCTATAAATAATTAATTAAGACCCATAGAAATTTTGTCAAAAAATAAAATTTTGTTAAAGCAGTCTGCCCATTCATTTTAAAATTTTGTTAAAAGAACACTACCACTTAAACTCAAAGCACAGCGTATCTATCTAATCTATCTACCACTGAATATGATATTGAATATTCAATATACACACAAAAAAGTGGGGTATATCAGTGATGTTTGTTAATTGAATTTTTTCCTTGGTTTTTTTTATTTCAGTGATATTAATTGAATTTTTTCTTGGGTTTTTTCTTTTTGTATGTTGAAAATTTGTAAAATTTCAAACCGCCAAACCGATTCGCATCCATCCGCCAAATCCGCATCCGCCGGATTGGCGGACGAATGCGGATTGATTTTCACCAATCCGCTAATTTGGCGGATGGATGGCGGATTAGAGGTTTCGTAGCCGCAACCGATCCGCGCCCACCCCTAATTACATCATCTAGTTCCAGGACAACCCAAAGTTGATTCCAGAGGTACTAATGAACTAGAGGCAGCTAAATAACTCAGTGATGTAATGCTTTTGCCTACATCAGCCCCAAAGCCATTGTTTCCATATTAATGAAACCTAACGCTGTGTTTGGATGATCATGGATTTGGATAGGAATTGGAAAAGAGAAAGGAAAAGGCAAGGGAAATGAACAAAAAACTTTGTTTAAATTTCATTCACATTTCCCACACCTTTTCCTTTTCCTTTCCAAATCCCTATACAAATCCATACTCCAGACACAACATTGCTTCTTAAGGAATCCGATACATCATCCCTAGAAAAGCCATCACTCATCTTCATAACATGCTACATGCAAGAACTAATACAACTAATTAGACCAGTATATAAAAATGCAGCCAGAGCACGAAATACATACCTTAGCGTAGTCCAAATATCTCTTCCGGAGGATCATAAACATGGTTGTCAGGAAAAATCTCCTCAAAGTCTTGTTTTACTCTGTTTCTCAAGAGGGGATGTGGCAAAAGTCCCTTCAACAATATTCTAAATGGTAACTCCTCCGGTGGATCTGGAGACTTCTTCATGTCCTCATAAATATTCATGGCATCTGCAGGAGACCCACACCTCAAGAAGCCCCGAATAACTTCGGTATATGTTTGAGAATCAGGAAATAAATCTTCATTTCTCATACTTTCCCACAATTGCATCACATCATCCATTTTCTTACATGTTGCTAATGCAATAATCAGGTCCTTATAGAGGAAGACATCAGGCTTATACCAGTCTTCCTTTTGAATTACCCTAAAGATCTGACAGTCCAAGTTGGTTGTAAGCGCAAAGCACATTTCAGGGTAATAAGGGCTTAAGACAGATGGAGTTTGTTAGCAAAAGTATCAAAAAACCTAAGCAAAACACAAGGATTTTGACAGTAAGTAAGAACAATAAAATACTAGGCACAATAATATAAAACCCAGATATACATTTGACATACAATTTGTTCAGGATAACATCAACATAATTATTATAGGTGAAATTGCAAATGAACAATAATTGGTCTGAACCAACCCTTCCTTCCCTAACCCCCTCCAACCTTTGTATCTTGACTAGATCCAAAATCGTAAGGAAAAAGTATGAGTTAAGCAAAGACAAGAAGTGAGGTATTATTAGCAACAGAAAATTTTGCAGCAATTGTATGGCACATTTGGTTGCTGGTTAAAAGAGGGAGAAACCAAACCAAACCAAGCCTTATAGCCCAATCAAGTAGGGCCAACTACATGAATCTTTTTTTCTCCATTAAAATCTATCAAGGAAAATATGCTAAGTTAAATTAAATAAATTCATATTTCTTTTCACTACCGCATCTCATGTTAGCTTAGGTCTTTCCCTCCTCCTAGCATCTCCACTTGTGGTGATCCTATTACTCTTCTTTACCATTGCATATATAGGTTTTCGTTGTACAAGATCAAACCATCTTTAACATTCCATTTCGCAAAATATACTCATTTCTAATTATATCTTTTCTAGTCTTACACATGCATCTAAGCATGCTCATTTCAGGGACACCGTTGTAGGCACGAGTTTCTTAGTTGCCCAACATTCTATCCCGCATTGTTGGTGTTATAGCTGTTCTATAAAATTTTCTTTTCAATTTTTGTTGGTATTTATCGATCACATAATATGTCAAACACACTTGAGCTGAAGAAGACGAAGAAGAAGAAGAGATAAAATTGGAATAGAGAAATACCTTGAGAGCTAAAGTGACCTCCTGTTGGCGTCCGAGTTCATTGAGGACGGAAATCAAGTCCATCTTCAAGAGCCTGGAGACGTGGGTTTTGATGAATTGAGAAAGCTTCTCTTCATCATCTTTGAATCTCTTCAAACCCGAGATGACGAAAAGGGCTTCTTTGCCAATCAATTTCTTGCCCCTCCAGAGGGGTCCTCTTGGCCTCCCATCATGGTAGTAACAGCGTCTCAGACCACTCGTCAAGGCCGCTTCGCGTGAAATGGAATTTGTAACTGTAACATAGGGCTTTGAAGAAGAAGAAGAAGAGTGTTCGGTGATGATGATGGGTACTAGTCTGAGTAGGTGAGGATCACCACGGAATAGTGATAAAGCAAACAGTGGAGTTTTGGTTCTGGTAATGATGCCTCCAAATGACATTCTAGACAAGTGCTGCTGGGCATCGGAAGATCGATCGTTGGTTGGGGTTTGATTTGAAGGGAGAAACGAAAACAGGGTTTGGTTTAACCATTTAAATCCCGGGAGATGCGGTCGAACCGGATCCTCAACCAAACCGCCCAAGAAAGAGCCTTCCCTTCATTAAAAAAGTAATTTTTGTTCATTAACAAATATTTAATTTTAAAATTTTTGTAAAATATATTTAATATTATACTCATTTTAAAGGTATAATTTCACATTTTTTAATAATGTCAATTTTATGAAAATTAAATTTATATATTAAAAGTTATTTGTAATATAATAAAAAATATAGAATGAATAGTGTTATAGAGATGATCTTTCATTTTTCATACTCCCTTCAAATTTGAAGGATGAAACATCCATCCTCCCAAATGGAAGACGATATGGAGGCTGGGTTGGAATGAATTTTTTCAAAAGATCCTCTATATTTGAGGATATAGAGCCTCCATTGGAGATGCTCTTAAGGGCTCGTTTTGGAATGGAGGGTTTGGGCTTTTTTTTTTAATTTATTAAAATAGTCATAAAAAATAAAATAAATTTTTTAATTTAATAAGATAAAATATTACATTCAATTCATAATCATTATATTTTTTTCCTCACAAAAAAATCAAAAGTTCTTCCTAAACGAGAATTTTTAACCCATGATAAAATAGTTAAAAAAGTTAAAAAAACCAATCTACTTCTCAAACGAACCCTAAGTGTGGAAATACACTGAGAGGGCAATTTATATGAAAATTGGGTCGGGCTGGGTAATAGGCCGTCATGGGCCGCAATACAAAGGGCTGACTAAAAAGGCTTTAAAGTTAGTCCGGTCCAAGAGCCCAAAAAATCAAAAGTTCTTCCTAAACGAGAATTTTTAACCCATGATAAAATAGTTAAAAAAGTTAAAAAACCAATCTACTTCTCAAACGAACCCTAAGTGTGGAAATACACTGAGAGGGCAATTTATATGAAAATTGGGTCGGGCTGGGTAATAGGCCGTCATGGGCCGCAATACAAAGGGCTGACTAAAAAGGCTTTAAAGTTAGTCCGGTCCAAGAGCCCCAAAGCTAGTCCGGCCCGGAGGAGACTTGAAGTTAGTCCGGTCTAAAAACACTTTGAAGTTAGTCTGGTCTCGGAGTTAGCCCGGTCATGGCGTATCGTGGTTAGAACGGTCAGAACCTTACTATTCGGTAGCTCGGTCTGATCACACCGTGGTTTGTACATGGGAAAACCGAGATAAGGTGTAGCGAAAGGAAGAACCGAACTAAGGATAGTTCGGCCTACTCTGCGGCTCAGCATAACCATGATTACTTCGGTCATATTGGAGTTCAGCCATGGTAAAAACCATCTCACTTGGTTTAAGCAGTGAGGGGGGTGTTGAAGGATAAGCATTATCTTTCAGGAGTATGAATCCTAGGAGGACTTTGCATGGAGGGATAGAAGTCCTACTAGGATTGTGCCACGCAAAACCTATAAAAGGTCACAAACATCACCTTTGGAGAGGTAACACACAACTTTGCTTTCTGAATACACAGAGCTTTTGTCTATTGGTCAAGCTTACTGACTTAGGCATCGGAGAAGTTTTCGGCACACACCCACCGGCTAGCTCACGTTTGTGTTTTCAGGTGATAAAACGACGACGTACAGAGGAGCACATACTTGATCAACACAATTATACGATAAGGTTTATTTTTTTCTCGTACATACACACTTGCATAACTTCTAATAACTATATATAAGCTGTGATTTTTAAAATTTTTATGAATTAATTTATGATATTTATAAAAAATTATGCAATTTTATGAGTTAATTTACGTATATTTATAAAAAATTTCACAATTTTATAAAATAATTTATATATATTTGGAAGAATTTACACAAATACATACATGTAATATGCATCTTATATACCCAAATACTTCTTCACATGTTCTTAGGTGCATAAGTTAAGTTTTTAATCCCATCTTAAAATTCAAGTCAAAACTTAAATAATTTATTATTCGAATTAACTCAATTATATACATTATAAAAAATTTAAATTATTTGAGTTTAAATAAGTTTTTACTCTGCTTCACTTATTTCCAATGATACTCTGATAATGTTTTGACAACCTCTTTTACACTTTTAAAGTATGAATCTACACTCCTAGAGTAAATCTACACTTCTAGATTGTATATCTAGACTTTTATGTTTGGAATAGAGACTTGACTGTTTCTCCCCTAGTTGTAAATTTTTAAATTTTTAACACCCACAATAGTTCTTTTTTCTCTCATGTCTTCTTGTGTTCTTCCCTTTAACTCTCACTACTGGCGGTGTCTAAAATATGGCGACAGTGGAGGTGGAGTTGGGCTGCAGTAATGGAGACGACAATGGGTGTTGATGATGCAGATCTAACTATCCAAACTATATATATGAGGAGATCGGTGATTTTTCCTAAATCGTAGTTGATTTTTTTTGACAAATTTGTCGTTTTTTGTTGTATGATTGTTTATTTAACCCTTTTAAGATCTTCTTGTTTTTCTTTAGTTGTAGGGCAAATTACACAAATAGTCTCTATAGTTTGGGACTTGTATCACTTTGGTTCCGACTTTTCAATTGTGACACATTTGACCATGAATTTTGAGTCTTGTTCCAAATAAGGACAATTGAAAATATCATTAGAATTTTTAAGGGTAAAATTGTCAATTTGATAAAATATAAACTAATTTGACAAAAATAAATGTCAAACAAATATTTTTGAATTTTTAAAAATTATTTCTACCCACTAAGAAAAATTATGTAAAATTAATAAATCTGTTAGACATTTATTTATTTATTTTACCAAATTAATTTTTATTATGTGTTTGGATGATGATCATGTAAAATTAATTTAAAAAAATTAATCATGTAATTTTTATTAATTTTACATAATTTTATCATTGGTGGGTAAAAATAATTTTTAAAAAATTAAAAATATTTTTTTGACATTTTTTTTTGTCAAATTAGTTTATATTTTATCAAATTGAAGATTTTACCCTTGAAAAATCTAATGATATTTTCAATTGTCCTTATTTCAAACAAGATTTAAAATTTAGGGTCAAATGTGTCACAATTGAAAAGTTAGGAACCAAAGTGACACAAGCCCCAAACTATGGGGACTATTAGTGTAATTAACCCTTAGTTATATGTTGTTTGTTTTATTTTAATATAGCTGCTTTTTCAGGCTTTTTCCCAAAATAAGCCTATTTTGCATTGTATTTCCCAAACTAGGCCAACTTCTGAGGAAATTCCCAAAATAAGCTGAAGCGCCATTCTCATTCGCGCTTTTACTGTGAGGAGGTCGAAATTTGATGAACAGTGTAATCGCTATTCCAATTCGCGAGTTTGATTAAGAAAACGCTATTCCCATTCGCGCTTTCATTTGTTTGTGAAGAAAACGCTATTCCGAATAGCGTCTTCACTGTTGCAAATAGCGCTTCAGTTGGTTTGTGAAGAAAACGCTATTCCGAATAGCGCCTTCACTGTTGCAAATTTTGGTTTGTGAAGAAAACGCTATTCCGAATAGCGCCTTCACTGTGCACTTACAAAATCGCGATTTCTAATAACGCTTTCAGACATAATAAAACACACCCAAGCCACGTTTTTTACACTCCTCACACTCAGCTCTCGATCTCCCTCTGCTCTCTCACCCTCAGCTCTCGATCTCCCTCTGCTCAACTCTCACTGTCGCTCTCGCTCTCCCGCTGCTCTCACTCTCTGTCTCTGTCTCTGTCTCCGTGGTATGGCTCTATCTTTTTTTCTGAATTTTATGTATTTATTTATTGTGTTTGTGAATGTATGTTTGTGAAAATGTGAATGTTAGGGTTTTAAATGTCAATTATTAAATGTGTTGGTTGTAATGTGTTAGGGTTTTTTATCAGTGTTGTGAAAATGTTAGGGTTTGGAATTTTGCTTCTGAATCAGAAATCAGAAATTATGCTTGTGAATAAACTAACCTATATTTGTTGAATTGGAATTATGAAATGTCTATATTTTGAAATTTGAAATCAGAAATTTGAATTTTGAAATTATGCTTGTGAATCAAAATGTCTACATTTTTTTCCTTCCTTAGTTTCATTAACTAGAACAATATCATCAATGAATAACCCACACCATGAGATATTCTCCCAAGTATGAACTCATCCATGACGAAGGCAAATAAGGGTATGAACTCAACTCTCCATTATTTTTATAAATAAAGTACTAAAATACTTTTTCTCCACTCATCAAACATTTTTGTACTCATTAGAATCTTATTAAAGAATTTTTTCAATCAAGACAAACTCCTCCTTATCTAAATATTTCCAAACCCCCTATTACATCATTGACATAATTCATGCTTTAATTTTAAAAATTTTATTAGTACATGATATATCAATTATTAAGAATAATTTATAAAATTTATGAATTTGTATAATGTTTTTCATTTTGTATATGTTATATATGAAGTTGATGTGTTAAAGTCAATTTGCTTTAATCATATATACAGTTAGAGTATTCTTTATTTGTTACACATAATTACTAATATACATAGCATGAATTGTTCACTTTATGGTTGTATATTGAATTTTTTATTCAGTTTGTACATCAATATGAATTGTTCACAAAAACAAGTTAGATCAAAGTAAAACCAAAAATGAAGTATAGTTTAAACTATAATATGCAAATATTAGATTAAACTAATGAAGGAGCCATGTGGGTTCTATTTGAGGTAGTATAATGTGGAGAATGTCATTATGCTTGCCCAAGCACATGGTGTGGTGGGTGGTGGGGTTAAAAATCTTTAACTTTTTCATGCATGCTTTGATCCACAATCTCTGTTTCGTCTATTTTTTTATTTTTTTAAAAGGATGAAAATAATATTACTTTTTGATTTCTATTTTGTGAATGTTCAAATCTATGCAAATTCTTGATCTACAGTATCTGTTTGTTTCTTCTATTTTTTAAAGGATGAAAAGAAGAGAACTTTTTCATTTTTGTTTTTTTTCACAATGTTCAACTCCACTATTTGCCTACTCTTGTGATCTTGTGTTTTTT